TGGCAGTACTGACTCGCCCGGTGACATTTTGGTCTGAGTCATCGGGTGTCCCGTCAGCGCGGCGTTAAGCTCTGTGCCTGATCCTTCCCCATTCCTTTTGCCATTTTAACCCAAGAGGAGTAGTTTTTGACCTCTTTGGGGTTTTGGATTGGGGTTGGGTTTGGTTGGTTTGTTGTTTGGGTTTTTTTGGTTTTTTTAACCATGTGTGGAGTCCCGAAAATACTCCGATGGAAGTACAGCTCTCTATAGCAAACTGAAGCCTGCTAATAATAGGCTTGCTTTTTTTAGGTGCCTTTCACAAACCTGTTAGAAATGTCCCATTGACCCTCCTGGGTTTTGTGAACCAGGGGTTGGAAATTGTCATGCTGATGGGTATCTGGATGAATCTGCAGGAGACTGCCAAAAATTCTCAGCGTAGCTGGGCCGTTTTGTTCCGCTCCTGCTGATCAGATAAAGCTTTTTAGGCCTTGCAGGAACCATTAGGAAAAAATGTATGAATACTGGTATTTCCTTATTATCCCTGAAAGCATGGCAGGAGAAGCATAGGTAAATACCCTGTTAGTTAGAAAACACACTTTCTCTCATTTCTGTTGCAGAGGAAGATTAAGTTTTAATCAATGCAGTTTTATGTACAGAAAAATGAAATAAACTTCAGAATGACCTCTCCTGCAGTTTCTATCTATCTGTCTGGGAGTTTGTTGGTGTTATTTCGAGAGACATCCTGTCCTGTGGATCTAGAGCACCTAGTTTAGCTGTCATAAACGTAACATGACTGGTTATGTACATTTGCTTCCTTTCGATGACGATAAAAGGTTAACTTTAGCTCTCAAAAAGTGGTCAGTGAACTCAGTGTGTGTGTCAAAAGCTGTTCCAAAGTATCTCTTTAAAGTATATAAAAACCCGAACTGAAAACCTCAAAAAATACCCATGATCTGCCCTGGTCTTCCCCTAGCCCCCAAATTGTTTTCATGTCATTGGCAGAACTTGAAATTCACTTAGTGCATGTGACAAAAGGTAACTTCTTCCCAAAGTTCAGTGTTCAGGGACTTCTAATAGAGGAAAGGGTCGTAATGTACGCAGTGATACTGTAGTTTTGCAAGTCGTACCCAGGTGCTTGGCTTCACTAGCCTGAGTAGTTACATGAAGATCAGCGGGGTGGCAGTGATGATGGCCGTAAGCTTGGTCTAAGTTTCATAACATCAGGACCTCAGGTGGCTTTCAGGTACGCGTTGGGTGAAGGCACACAGCATTCGTTAACTCATTCCTAACGCGATGTTTGGCAGTCACAGGCCATTAAAAATAGATTTTTGACATGACTTATGGTGGGTCAAAAGACAGTTACGTATAGAGTGTAATAGCGTATTTTAAGTGTTTATCGTAGCAGGAAGTGGATTTTAATTGCTTTTGTTTACATTCCTAATTTGTATATTACGTGGGTTTTTGATTATTCCCGCAATGCCAAATGCCTTCCAGATAAAAAAAAAGAAGAAAAGGTCTTTGCTCTGACAGGTCGTTAAGCTAAATTGATATGTGTGTTGTCATTGTATCACACACTTACCTCGTGGTCTCTCTTGTAGCCTGACACTATGGTTAAGTCCTTAAGCCCTTTGCCTGCATTGTTTACGAATTGTTTGCTCCGGAGCAGGAGAGACTGATGATTTCCATCTGTGTGTTACAAATTAAGTTCATATGCAGCATGATTGAAGGGCAGACCAGTTAGGGCAAGTTACTGCTTCCTCCCTGCTACAATCTTTTTTTTTTTTCCCATTGTATTATTTATATGAAAATACCAGGTTGGACAACATAAACAAACCCAGATGTTTGTGTATGTAAGAACAGGGAATTAAAAGAAAACAAACAAACAAAGCGGGTTGCCTAGAAGAGAAGCTGAGTTTCTAAGCTCCTATAACTTGACTGTTAAGATAACGTACACTAAAACACACATGTATTTCTCAAGTAGTGAATGGTATTTATGTACTGATGACTGACTTTTTGTTTTGTCGCCTGATGATGCCTCTGAAACAAGCATTAAATAACAAAGTGCCTTAAATAGCAAGTTTGTCCTCCAGCCAGAAGTCAGAATTGGAGGCCTGTGCTCTGTCCCCGTCCTTACTGCTCTGCAGAGACCAGTCCCCAGGCTTTCCCAGTGAGGTACCTCAAGGCTCTCCTTCCACCTTCCTCTTGGACAGTTACACGGCAATAGCTTCCCACTCCCCCCCAGTTTAGCTCCATTGTATTTCTGAGCGAGCTGTGGAGCTCGTACTGGAGTGAAACCACTTCCTTCATTTGCAAGAGAGCTGAATTTTTATGTGACTGCTGAAGTGTGCTGTTCAGGACTAAACCCACAGTTTTAATCGCTCTGTGTTTGTCTAGCTTTCACTCAGCCTCTACTAATGCTGACCTTAAGGTGACTTGTCAGACTAATTCCTCTGTTAAGTAGGAGTTTGCTTTTCCTGTGACCGTTTCATTCCTTTGCTTTAGGAAACAAAACCTTGCGGGCAAATAAAAAGAGTCTGGGCAAAAAGTCCTGAAAGTCTGTGTTTAGGACTATCCCAGCTTGTTACTGCGCCTGGTGTGTCAAGTCTAAGACTTTTCGTTTGAAAACTGAACACCTAAATTACTGTTTTCTTTCTTATTTTTTTAATGCAATATGATGTTACTGTCAACTGAACGTTGTCAGGCATGAGTCTTTAATTATGTCAGCTTTACTTTGAGCTGGCAAACCAGCATAACAATTTTGATAAGATTATTAAATAACACAGTGACGGTTAACCTGTTTCCTTGTGGGAGAGGAGGGACTGAGTCTTTTAAAGACTTGTTAAGTCTGTGTGAATGTGTGAATACATAAGCGTCCTTACAGAAATTGTGAAAAACTGGCGAAAAGGTATGGATTTACTAGTAGGTATAGATTTGTCTGAACTTAGTCTGCCAGATTGTTTGGGTAATTACTGTTTCTGAAAATTATATAGCTTGTCTCCCTAAGTAGCAGGAGTCATGAGGCTAAATTATAGCTGCGGTTGAAGTACAAAGTAATTACAATGTGGTACGTGAATTTTATGAATGAGGAGGAGAGGTTTTTCTGTTGTTTGGGGTTTTTTTTTCTCACCAAAGTAAACAAGATCCTCACATGCGTGTTTTTATCTTGATTTTTCTATTCTGTGTGATGTGTATATAAATATAAGACTGATAGGCTTTAATGTTAATCCATGTGACTTTCTTCAGCTTAGTAAAACATCTTAAACTCTCTCACTTAGCAGCATACTAAATTCTCAAAGCAGAAATATAAGAAAATACCTGATTCTCCTGGTTTATTTATACCAGTTATGCTAGAAAACAAATATTGTAAATGGTCTGGTTCATCCACTTCTGTGCACCTAGAAACTTTGTGCATCCACATCGCTCACGCTGACACACGCAAGCCTATCACTTCCGTGCTAGGATGTCATTAATCATTCTGCTCATTGATAACCTTAGTCTTTGGCTGTGAAAGACTGATTGTCCTCTTACAAATTTGGTCCTCTTGAAATAACAGCTAGAAAGCTAACTTATCATCTCCTTCCCTGTCTAGGTAGGGGCAATAGCATCTCCGTTTAGGTCGGCATTGGGCAAAGGAGAGCTTTCTCCTTGTACTTGACAGAACTTAGCCATGAAAGTTTTGAGAGAAGTTGAAGGTCCTAAGTACTTTTGCAATCCTCTCACTTTGTTTTCTGTAAAATTTATCCGTTTTGTATAGGTAACAGTGCCACTTTTTTAACAATTAAACCAAAAATAGCTTCAGGATGAACTTTTTTTTCAGAAAACAGAATTAATGGTGAACATCGTCTCCCTTTCTCTGAATTAAAATCGAAAAAAGAACACTCTTTTTTTGCAAAGCAGCGAGAATAATCCTTACATGTTGAACTAGGAGGAGGCTGAACCCTTCTGTTCAGGTATATGCAATTCAATGTGTTTGGTAGTAAAATTATTGTAGCCGTTTTTGTAGAAAGTGGGTCTTTATGTAGAGGTTGTAGTGGTTTTGAGCGTTTAGAGCATTGTGCAAATAGGAGTTTGGTGGGAGTGGCTCTGAAACTAGAGCAAGAGCGGTGCATACCTGGAGTAGTACAGTTTCTGGCTCTGAGATGGACCTTACCCTCTGGGTAGATAAGGTGCCCGTGGAGATGGAGAGGACAGGGCAATGGCAGCAAACGTGACGTTAGTGCCCTTATTACAGGGGAGTGGAGTCAGTTAGGAGTGCTAAAGGGGAGGTAAAACAAGTGCCTTTGAGGGATGGAGCGAAGGTGGTGGGAGAAGCATGGCAAAGCAGAAGACTGATGAGGGACGTAAGGCCAGAGGAGGAGGTGAGAGTGGGTGACAGCTGTTGTTCGGGAAGAGCATCCTCCAGCCAGACTGGAAAGTCCTGTCAAGACCTTTGCCTGGGTTGCTTCTTCAGCAGTTCCTGCCACCGTAACTTCGCAGTGGTTTGATTTTGCACTTTTACCCCCAAAGCTGTTGAGTCAATGGATAAGGAGAAAGGAAAGCGTTTCCACTTGCTAAGCTTCTCAGTATCTGTAGGAGAGACCCTTCCCTTCCCCACGTCTGAGGCAGCAAAAAGAGACCCTGCCAGCTGTGCTAGGTCTTTCCTTTTTTTCCTCACATGGCAGTGTCCAGTTCTCACTTCAGTTCCTGCTGTGGCAGCTCCTGCTGGCACCTACCTGATCGCTTTCTCCTCATTAAAACACTTGTTGTTTCCTCTGGAGGGGGTGGAGGTGGCACATGGGTGGATTTCATGTGTAATTAAGCAAGTCTTAAAAGCACTTAGAGAGTTCTGAGTACGGAGTGTTCTGATAAGTGCAAGAGTCTGGTTTCTAAATCCATTATTTTGTGTTTGATTTATTTACCTTTTTTGCCTTTTCAACTTACTTTCTGCAATTTGGAATTTCCCACGTGATCCCCCTGCCATTATACGAACAGAGATCTATGTGTCTTGCAAAGCGGTAAACGCTGTTTCTCCCTCTTTTTCAGACGCAAGTATGGACATAATAGCCTATGATGATTACTCCAGTCCACCGCTTCAGAGATATTGAAAGGAAACCTGAATACCTCCAGCCAGAAAAGTGTGTTCCACCTCCTAGCCGCGCTTCCCTGGGAACAATGTGGTTTATTCGAGATGGCTGTGGTATTGCATGTGCTGTCGTTACCTGGATGCTGGTGTTCTATGCCGACTTTGTAGTCCTTCTTGTCATGCTAGTTCCATCGAGAGATTATGTTTATAGTGTCATCAATGGCACACTGTTCAACACCTTGGCTTTCCTCGCTTTGGCTTCACATTTTCGTGCTATGCTGACAGACCCAGTAAGTATATCTCTCTCTGTACGTCTCGGAAAGAAACAGGCAGTGTTTTTCTTGTCTGCTAGATGTTGGGTAACTCCGTTGCTGAATGAGTGGCAGATTTAAATAACTTCTGTGTGTCAGCCTGCTGAGTGAGGCTGCTGATGTGGTATGCTAATTTCTCATCCCACTCAAGTCAGATGCAAAGTCAAGGACCCAGCTTTAGATTCCCATGGTGTGAGCAGCTCCTCTTTTTGCACTGGGAAGAAGAGTGTTTCTCTCTGATGCTGTTTTCTCCCCACTGGCAGATCTCATGTTTGTGGCTTGTCGTGTCTTGACAAACAGGAAAGCTGGAAAAGCTGGTTTTGGTTGTCTGCCTTGGCAAGTATTGCTTCAGCAGAATGGAGCAGAACGTGCGTTGTTTTGAAAAGCCGTGTTACCATCTCTCATACTAGTGATTTAGTTGAATGTATTGGACCATGCTGAAATAAATGCTGCGTGAGCATGCGAAGAGCTGATGGTTCTTAGGCAAGTGGGAAGCGTCAGAGTTGTAAGACCCCCTTGTATGTCTCCGTAGGGCATTGCTTTGTGAGAGATCTGGTCTGCTGCTTTCTCATCTTCCAGCTAGTGAGAAGATACAGTTTAGTACCATGATGCTTATTCTGAGTGGCCTGTGATGGTTTATTTTGCTTAATAACCTCTGGACAGTAGATTCCGTTCAAAACCCCATCTCCACTAGTCAGTGGGAGGAAAAACAAGCTTAGACTCCTCTGGGCCCTTCCTCCTGGGTTGTTCTTGTTGCTGTTGCGAATGGCAGTGTGCCTCATAATCTAATTACTCCTTCCAAATGTAATTTCCTACTGGAGACCTTGTTACATGCCATTGAAACTTCAGTGTAAACTCTGTTTCTTAGTTTCCAGCTCTCCCAGAACCCACAGCACTGCAGAAATGGCTTTATCTGGGCTAATTTCACCGTTTATGGTAAAGACTGATGAATTACACGCTACTGCTGCTGGGCAGAACTGCAAGTGGTAGTTGAGGCTCTGAAACTTCTGGTCATTGGACTCAGGAACAGAGGGTTGCAACGATTTGTTATACAGTTTGTATCCTAGGGGTGGTTGTTGTTGTTGTTAGTTATTGTATGCTGTGTGGCTTTAATGCCTAGGGACCTTCAGGTCACTGGAATTATTTTGCAGAGTTAGCAGGAACTCTTCTGAAACAAAAGCTGTATTCTGAAGCAGGCTGGGCAAGCAGTGTTGGAGAAGCAGATACCATCTCTATGCAGAGTAACTGGGAAAAGATATGTTAATTCCTAGTGTGTCATGGGATTTATGTGTGTGGATGGTGAGAGCTAGTGGGATTTTTGTTTTATTTTTTAATGAGGAAATGAGCTAAATGAAATGGAGGAGGGAAGATAAAGTGAGGGGATGCAGCAACATCTGGCAGACAGTGTGAGTCGGGGATGGAGGAAGCTGCCGGGACATGGGAAGCAAGGGGCACATCTAGGATCAGAATGAAACAGAAAGCACTGCTGAGCAAACAAATAGAATTCTTATTATAAATAAACAAACACCTGAATTCTTCAGAATTGGTAGCCTGTGTCACGCTTTTCAGGAGCTGCTTCTTGTGGGTCCTTGCTAAAAACATTCCTAAGGTTTTGAGCTTTGCTGCCTGCTAAAGAGAGAGAATGTGAGTTGTAGCATTTTGTTGAAATTGGTCTTGGTAATTTGTAAATTGGTCAGGCCTGTTGGGAGGTTTTTTGTGGAAAAACCCAAAGACTGCTCAAGAAAGCCTTATATCTCTCGTTGATGTGTATTATTCCTGTTTAATGCTGTTAGGAGGTTGTATGGGTGTGTTAAAAAGAGACTGTTCCATCAGAAATCTCTTAAAATATTACATCCCTGTTTTTATTTCAGTATAAAAACCTTATGTCCACAGAGGTGCATTTGTGCCAGTGTACCAGCGCCGATTTCATACAGCACATTTCATGACCTTTTTTGTTGGTTTTGGGGGAGTTTTTTTGAGGAAATTTATGGCCCTAGAAAGGCTGGAAACTCTTGAACTCAGGCTTCTGCAGCAGCAATACGTTACCTGTTTAAAGACATGTATTTTAAAGCGGAAAATGCACAGCAAAGAATGTTTTACCTAGTCTTACTCAGGTGGGAGGATTCTTAGGGTTCACTGTTTGAATGTTAACCCTGATTTAAATAACAAATACACAATGGAAGCATAGCTATACATACATGAGGTGTTTACCAGCAGCCTTGGTGTATACAATGGTATTGCAGAAGTAGCTGCTTCTACTGGAATAAAACATCTGCAGTTTCCAGTTTGTGATATGAAACATTGACATGATAAATTTGTTGATAGATGTGAAGAGAGGGATGAGGATTCTTAAGTATTCTAAGGTTACTGTAGGATTACAAAAGACTAATTGCTTAAGTGAGGATTTACTGATGTTTAAAAAAACAAAAACCACCAAAATAATATTGAAGTATGTGGTTCTTTTTGTGAATCTTCTTACTCTTCTTGGAACGCTATTGATCTTGGGGAAGTTTTTATTTCTTTCTCTTCCCTTCCCTCTCATGGTTTTAAGTCATCCTATTGTTCTTAGCACTCGTAATGTCCACAGGTTAATCTTCTGGTTTGTTTGTTTTTTTCTGCAGGGTGCTGTACCCAAAGGTAATGCCACAAAGGAATTCATTGAGAGTTTACAGCTAAAGCCAGGACAGGTGGTTTACAAGTGCCCAAAGTGTTGTAGCATCAAACCTGACAGAGCACATCACTGCAGGTAAAGTCTGTTCTGAGGACTGCTCTTTTATCAAGACCTTGAGAATTATCCAGTGTGCCTTGATCTCAATTGCTACTGGAGTCTGAGACTGGAGTGCTTAAACTGAGAGATTGACATCCAAATTCTGTTGCCAATAGTGCCAGACACGTTCAAGCTTCTCTGAAAAAATCTCAGACCTTTTCTGACAAGTTTTCATCTATGGCTGGGGCCCCTTCTTGTGAAGTGAGAAACTTAAAATGAATGCTGCCTTGACTCCAGACCTGTAATTGACATTCCATAAACTTTCGTGTAAATGTGACTTTTTAAAAAGAGACGTTGTATAACAGAATGCATAGAAGTCCATAAAATGTAATGTCTCTCAAAAGGTCAGTGTCCCTTCTGTTTTTGTTTTTATTCACAAACCCATTTGTCTAACTGTAGATTCTATTTCAAAGTGATAGTTAAGTTAAAACTAAAGTTCAGGTAACTGTGTATTTTTCCAGAGTTCAGACTTCCACATTTTCATTGAGTACTGTGACTTTGGATTGTATTTTGTGGTGGTAGATCAGTGTGCCTACTGATCAGTCATGTCCTTTATTTTTCTGGTAGGATAAGCTTCCCTGAAGGGAGTAACTGGTAGTGAGCTTTTTAGTACTAAAAAAAAAAAATAACTACTTCCTAAAATTCTCTTCTGCTTTTAAAGCAAGCGAACCTGCTTTCCAGTAAGTCGTGAACGAGTTTGCACTGGTGTCCCTTCCTTACCTACTCAAAACCCCATACATTCTGAGAGAGCTCGTGTCAGGGTTACTGCTGATTCATGCAGGGGTCTTATGGGGAGAGGAATATGTGGTACTGAACTGTTCTGCTATTTGCATTTTTCATATTTATTTCCAGGGCTTTAGTTTGCAAATGTTTTTCTCTTTTTGTTGGTTTGTTATTTTAATCAAAATCAGGAGTTGGTTAGGAGCGATGCGATCATGCCTATCACTTATTAATGCTACTGTAAAATCCCCTCTGACACTTCTTCAATTATGAATGAAACTTCGCATCTAAAATGCTGTCTTGCTGATGACTCACAGCATAGGTAAATGAAAAAGACTCTTTGGCTAAACACAAAACCTCGTTTCCATGGTCCTTTTTTCTATGCTTTAAGATAACTTTTTAGACATTAAGATGTGGGAAACTGATCTGCTGAGCACTGCTGGTGTTGAGAATCTTCAGTCAAACATTTTTTTGTGGGGTAAGGGGATTTACTGGACTTTCACACATCAAGGTTGTGCATATGCATCAGCAGGAGATAATGCTGGCTATATGCCTGAGGGACCAGGGTGCTTTCTGGTTCATATGCGAGTCCTCCAGGCCCAGCATTTGGAAGCTGAGGGGTTGAGTCTGGGGGAGTGTCTGAGTATGGGCAATCCCTGCTGCCTATAGTTTTCAGCCTTAGTTTCTGCGTTTCCTTTTCGACCAGCTAGTTTCATGTTCTGCCTGTCATCCAACTGCTGTTGGTACGTATGCACAGAATAAAACCTCTCCTCTCAGCTTTAGCTACCTCTTCCGTGGAGGTGGTCTTTGGCTTAGCTGCTTTGGGCTGTCCCAGGCCCTGGGAACCGTTGGTGGGGTTGCTTGGGTACTTCCCTGATCCAGAGCCCAAGGGAAGTGCGTGTGCATCTGCACCCAGTAAATGAGATCAAGGGAGACATCCTCCTGCCTTACACCACCTGCCTCGCCTGCCCCCCGCCTTTTTGTTTTTTAAACCAGTGATTGATATGAAGTATGACGTTATCTGGCAGATGTTTTTACTGTGCCAGCTGATTTTAGTCCCCATGTAGCTCAAAAAATCATTTCAAGCTGCTTGTTCTAGCAAAACACGGCTTTTCCTGTTTCCCACTGCACCTGGGGCTGGCAGGGAAGAGGGTACCCGGGCTCTGCCTGTGGAGAAGCAGCTCCTGGCCAACCTTCCCCTTAGGGTCAGGGCTGTAGCGGCTCCGCTGGTTCTCAGGCATGGCATATATCCTTGGGAATTACCCCCTCCGGCCAGGGAGAGGGACTGCAAGGCTGTTCTGATGGAGGGGTTGTCTATTATTTATTCATAGGTCCTCATAAGGATGTGTTTGTGTTTTTGTTTCAGTTTCCCTTAAGCATTTGGGTGTTGAAGTTTATTGTTTATAATAAGGTCGAAATATCTTTTGTTACAAGAAGAAAAATAAAATTAGCCCTCGATCCTTTCCCTTTCAGTGCTACCACAATTGTTCTGGAATGGCTGTTTCCTTTCTGGGTCTATTGTTTGTTTGTTTTGGGGTTTTGTGTGTTTTCATATTTGATTTCTGTGCTTGTTGGTGCAATGTGGTATCAGGAGGCTGCCTTTCCTCTCCTATCATATGAGAAAGCGGCAGAGAAAAAGACTTCCTTTATTATGTGAGTTGAAGCGGTTACTGACTAAGCACGAGAATGATGTTCAGACAAAAGTAATGATCTTTTAATTATTTGCCTTCTAGCCACAGTGTGCATGCTGGCAAGAATTTGGATTTTGATTTTATTAGTCTGGTTTTGTGAAGTGCTTTAACGTCTCATTTTACTTTGAATGTATATTGTGGTACTGTCTTCCTGACTGACTGCCGCAGCTGGTTTATGCTAGTATGTGGCTTACCTTGATGTCGAGAATCTTTTCTAGTGCTTTATTTAATTTTCTTTTTTGCAAATTCCTGCTACCAGCTTATGTTGGTAAACAAACCTTAGTCTGTTATTAGCAACTCTGAAAAATGTATTTATTTGTTACTGCTTTTCGTATCTTTCTGTTTTTTGTTTGGTTTTAATCTGTGGACATTTTCATAGTCCAAGTAGGTTAAAACTACACTAAATCACAGATTTTTTTCCATCTGCCTGAATGTATTGTTCAAAGCATATTTTGGCAGAACCACTGACTTGAATATTACACTAAGGTGTCTTACTTGGCATTAATTTTGTACAATGGTGGTTTGGTATTGTATGGTTCATTTTGAACAGACATAGTCAAGTGAGCAAACCGCAAATATAAATGTAAATTTTTTTAGGTTCAGATTTCACATCTGATTCTTTCCTTTAATTTTTGTGTCACCCAAACCCCTGTGAAATCTTATGTTCCTGGAATGAAAAGTGCCATAAATAAAGACCTGTATTCTTTCAGTGTATGCAAGAGGTGTATTCGGAAAATGGACCATCACTGCCCGTGGGTCAATAACTGTGTAGGAGAGAATAACCAGAAGTACTTTGTACTGTTTACAGTAAGTATTTTGCAAGTGGTGTTTGAGGTTGTCCAGCGGGCACCGCTGAAATGCCGTGTGTAGTCTGTGAAGCCACTCCAAAGGCTGGCTTTCTCTTTCCAGTTTCAGAAGAACTTTACAGGGAACTGTTGCAGACTTTTGTTTCACTAATTAGGGAACACACACAAGACAACAAGGGAAGAAGGCATCACAGAAAGTATTCCCCAGGGTTTTGCGAGTGTACACGTAATGCGAGTAGTTACTGTGGCGTTGAGCTCTTTGAGGTGGGGGCCATCCTTTTACACTGTACTGCGGCTGGTAGGGTCCTAGGCCACGTGTAGGGTTCCTAAATGTTGTAGTTGTATGAGTACCTGTGTGGAATCATATAATGAGAGCTGTTGCCACATCTTAAGTGAGGAGTGGGAAATCTGCATCCCCTTTGGCAAAAATTATCCGCCTTTTCCTTGCAAGTGGTTTCCAAGGAGTTGTTTGACTTTCTGTACTAAGCCTGTGGCCTCCCGAGTAAGAAAACAGGAGTGCAGACTTGAATACTATACATTTCTGGAAGGGTTAAAATCTGTTTCATCAGAGTGAGCTGCAAATATCCCGTGGGAGTAGCATGAATATTACAAGGCTGAGTTTCAGTGGTGCTCTTGTTTTATTAATAAATCTTTTGAGACATCTGTAGGTTGGAGGAAGAATGGTCTCATATTACCAAGTAACAAGGAGGGGAGATTTTCAGTTAAATGGAAAAGCTTACTGTTCTATGGTGTGGATTGTTAGGATGTGGATTACAGAACAAAACAAATCCCTTTGTTCCCCTTGAGCAAGGTTTTTTTCACCATGAGGAGTGAACTAGGTGTTTTAATCCTATCAGAAGGATTTCTGTTTCTGTTAAAACTGGCATCTACTCTCAAGCAAGCCGCATTAAACACTTAATGTAGTTGAGAGAAACAAAATAAGGGTTGCTGGTTTTGTTCTTTGTTATTCTTTTTGACGTGAAAGAACAGCAGCACACTCAACTTGCAAGGAAAACCAAAATACAATCCTATCACCTTTTACTGCTTCCACAGGGGTTTCTTGTAAAAAAGTCTCCCTCACTTCTAATGTCTGCCAACCTTTGTCCAGAGTCTGTAGGTTCAGGAGAGTCATCTTTTTAGCCCTGTCTTGATAAAGGGTAGCGTATGTGTAGCATTGCCTATAGTTTAAAGCTTTTTGTTACAAAGCTAAGACCTAATTTAAAACAAAAAGGGTTAAGTACAAAGTATAAAAGCTTGAGAGAAACTTTCCATGCCGGTGTCTGCCTCAGGGAAAAATACTTATTAAAAAAAAAATAATCATATCATTCTTCTGAAACTCATGCTGGAAAATAGATAAAGTGCATTTTGTGGTTAAAACAAATTAGCTGTTGTTTCTCTGGGAAACTGTAGTGCTCTCAGGAGCAAGGATGTAAGCTTTGACAACGTGCTACCTCGCTGTCAGAGTGTTGCTGCTCTCTGAGGGCTGCGCTGGACTCGGCAGAGACCAGGACAGCAAGCTGCGTGGAAGGCTGCGCTGGGGCGCGGGAGCCTGGACTTTGCGTCCAGCTGGCTTTGAATGAAGTGATCTGCCTCCAGTTCGCTCAGAGCTGGTAGTAAGGCCAGGATCAGTCCGTGTAGTCTTGGCATTTGCTTGTTTAGGGGGGATGGCAGGGCTTGGTGGGTTTTGGGGTGGTTTGTAGCTTGGGTTTTTTGAAATCTTAACACTTTGCTTTATTTAAAGTGTTTGGAAGATTTTAGCATTTTGGTCTTTAAACTGACCTGATACCTATATTACATCCTTTGTTTTTCAGATGTATATAGCACTGATTTCCCTGCATGCTCTAATCATGGTGGGATTTCACTTCTTGTATTGCTTTGAAGAAGACTGGACAAGTGAGTACTAACAAAACACCTCAATAAGATACTAGATTAGGCTATGAATAAGACCTTATAATGTAGTTTGCTTGTAAGGCAACCCCTTTTACGTGGGTTTCAGAAGAATACTATCAGGGCTCTGTTATGCTATCTCTATTTATTTTTTTTTAATGATCAATCTTAGAACTTCATAACTCTTTCTGACCTACTGGGATCTCTGTCCTGAAAAGCCATGTTTCAACTTAAGCCTCATACTGCCTAGGGAGAAGCTGAGATGTAAAGACACCTAGAGAGTATGTGTGCAATAGTCTACTGTTGATGTGAACACAACACTAATTTCCTGAATGCCAACACAGATAAGAAGAATGTGTATGCTTTTTAAAAGGGTAACCTGAATCATTCTTGCAAGACTGCCAGGAAAACATGCTAACTCAGATCCAAAAATCCACCCTCACAAGAACAAACAGTTCCTTTCTACAAAAAAAAAAAACCATCCCAACACAAACAGACAAACAAAAAACCCCAGCCCTCACTTTGGAGCAGCCAGTGAGTAAATTTTCACAAAGCCAGTTGAGATGTGTTTTTAAAAACACAAATGGATATAGAAAATCCTCTAGGTAATGCCGAGTCAAACAGCAAGCTGTCAAAGAATGTGTGTGTGCACATGTATGTGCTGCCTGTGGATTTTTTTGGAAGAGCATTAGCTTTGTTTTTCTTGGAATTTCAGTTGTGTCATTCAATATAACAACCGGTTTTAGTTTATAATGCTGCAGAGGATAGGTACGTTTACACATATTAACTGAATTTGACAATGTTGTTCTGCAGTTCAAACAGCTTTGTAAAACAGCTGCCAGCTATCACCGAGAACATCTGGATTTGACTACAGTGGCCAGGGCCATAGAGGAAGGATACATCCAAAGAGAGAGTTTGTCCACTTTCTCAGAGCCTGCATCTGTGGGGGGAAGCACCTTCCCACTTGTCCCAGGATTAGGTGGCAGAACAGAGCTGTTAGAGAGATGGATCTGTGATTCCAGCTGCCTTGGATTTGTGCTGATTGTGTTAGCCCCTGATTGTGGTGCTTCTGTTAAAGCTTAATATCTCATGAGAAAAATAGGGGTGTTTTTGGTGATACTCATTCTTGGATTTCAGAAAAATCTGGAGGTGTTCTGACATTTACAGCCTTGAACTCAACACTATGATTTTTTCCCTATAACATTTTCCTTCCTCTTCCTTTCTTCTACTCCTCTTTTATAGTTACTTTCTCAGATTTTTTTAGGTCTTGCTTGAGTTTGCACTATAGAGTGTGAAGAAAAATAAGGATTTGGCTTAATCTGCCCTTCTTTAGGTTATGACTTAGAGCAGTTATGAAAGGAAGCATACTCTGGTTTTATGTTGGAGCTACAGAAATAATTATCCTTGTGTCCTGACCACCAGCTTGAGATTTCTAATAGACTTTATCACTGTGGAAAATCCATTAAGATTAAGATTTAAGAGAGAAGCTACAGGTGAAATGGAGTGGAGTTCTAGCCATTGTGCTGGGGAAGCACCTAGGTGAAAAAGTTGCATTCTTGAAGTGTTGTGGGGCGGGGGGGGAGTTTCTTAGACTGTTTTTTTAAATTTGCAGGAGTGATTGTTTCGTTGTTGAATATCCTCAAGAATGTCAGATCTTCCCTGTGCACCTTTTTGAGAATGGTGATCATATAATTTATTTTGACAGTTTGAGTGTGGAAGACTCCCTTTCCAACTCCATTGTTTTGTCTTCACAGAATGCAGTTCCTTCTCTCCACCAACTACAGTGATTCTTCTCATCCTCTTGTGTTTTGAGGCTCTCCTATTTCTCATCTTCACCTCGGTTATGTTTGGGACCCAAGTACACTCCATCTGCACTGATGAAACGGTGGGTGTCTCACACACTCTCTCCTTTATCCTGTTTCTCACCGTTTGTAGAAGCAGTGAAGGGTTACAGGGTTTTACCTCATTGCACGGGGAATTCATATATGTGTACCCTTTGAGGAATAATAATAATGTAATAAACTGAGCCAGCACAGTGCTGGATTGTGCTCTCTGAAGGTTACTGTGAGAAGTAGTGTACACCTATGCATTGGCTGGGGTGCTGTGTTGACAGTACCGCTGATCAGGTAGGCATTGGTAATGGGGATTACTCTGCAGAGAGTATTTGCCCCTGTGAATTTGAGAACGTTTTTCCTTTAATGAAGTGCTTTTACATTGGTATTGTCTGAAATTCAGCTGTGTGTCCCCTGGTGTCACTATTTACAGCTTTATGAGCTGGAAAGCCAAGATGAGTAGGTGGGGAAGGGAGATATACACACACACGCTTCTTTTAGTCTAGAAGATTTCCAGTTTTAGCTGCTTGTTAAACAGTTCAAAAACTCTTGCCAGAGGGAAAAAGAAAAGGGAGTGGAGTAGGCTCATGGAAACCTACTGGGTACAGTCTGCTGCAAAGTCACCGTATCGTCCCCAGTTCAAAGATGGCATAGTAGGGGTTACGTAGGAGTGTTGCAGTCCGACGTACATCCCTGCATTTGCCCACTTTGGTAAAGATGGAGCTGGTGACTCCTGGGGATGTTCCCACACTTGTGAATGCCTTCACCAAGCATGCTCAGATACCCGAATTGATTGGAGTGGTTGAAGAGAAGTGATGGTCTTAAAAGAGTGACAACTCTTATTTCTTCCCCTACCTCCTTCAGTTTTCCTTCCCCTTCACTTGTTTGCCCATGGCCAGGTGAAGCTAGAACAGGTATTTTTGCTGCCGTTGGAGAGCTATGACTGGCATTGTAGACTGTAAGAGCCCATCGCTCCTGAGTCACTTTTGCAGTGCTCTTTTTAATGCTTGGCTGCTGCAAGAGGCTGATGTTCACACTGTGGCTCTTCTGTGTTCAGAGGAAGACTTCAGCTGTTCTTTCTGCTGGGGAGAGCCCTAGAAAGAAGCACAGTGTCGTACAGAACAACAAGATCCTGCCGAGCTTGGGTTTATCAATAAGTGTGTAAATTAGCAATGCTGCCTGTGAAATCATTGTCTGAATTTCTAAATCTTTGAAACCTGTCAAGAATTTTTAGAAGCTGCTTCCTACAACTGGGCACTCAAATAAGCCCCTCAATTTTCCTTTCCCCTCAAATTCTGGGAACTCATAGATGTTAAAGGAACAATTCCCCAGTCTAAAATAAAAAAATGTAATATGATCTCCCCCTGTTGGGTTGTGGATTTTCATTTTTGTTTTCTTTTTTAATATGTACCAGTAAGGATTTTGCTCTGTGGAACATCTCATTGTTGATTTGCTAGCATTGAGCTAGCTATGTCTGGCAAGCAGTCTGTTCTGAGCAGAGGAATATTTCCAGGTGAAATTCTTCCTGGTGTGGTCGCTTGCAGTGTTTTACTTCACATTTTAGACACAGGGCTGTGTCTTGTCCTTTCTCACCTTCCTCTTCCAATCACTGGGAGACCTCATTCCCCATCTTGTGTACGCTGTCCCACCGGGATGGTTCCTTTCTGCCTGAAGGGACCCAGAACCCTACTATTTTGCTGTTGTCTCTAGAGGTGACTCTTACCGGGGAGCAGCACAACCCTGGCAGTTGACCCATGTTGTGTTCTGCAGAGCTCCCAGAATCCGTGATTTGAGACAGACAGACATATTACACTGCATTAATCCGTGGCACGGGAGAGACATGTAGGTCAGGAGAAGCTTACCTTGCAAAAGATCCGAAGTTAAAGAACAGAGTGATCTGCCTGCTGCTGCTGCTGCGTGGGGAAGAGTAATGCTCTCCAGTGGCTGCACTTGTTCATTTTGCTTCTCTGGCAGCCAGGCGTAGCTTTCCTGAAAGACCAAATTCACTTTGTGGCTTTAGACACAATACAGATAATTTTATTTTTTTAATGATTGACTAGTGAATGTTTCAGCTGATTGCTTGATGGCTTATTTTTGTTCTCTCTCTAACCTTTACTAAACAATGCCAATGATTTCTCTCGAATCGGTATCTTATTTAACTCCTTTTCCCTGCTGTTAGCCCGTGCATGTTTTAGCAGTGATTCCACTGAAAGATGAAGAGGCACCAGGTAGACTCGGCTACACTGAGCCATGGGCACTTCCTGAACTTGCTTGGTGAATCTGGGAGCATTATAGAGGTTATCTTTGGGTTTGTGGGTTTGGTGTTGTGGTTTGTTTTTTTTTTTGTCTGCAAGCTTACAATGGTTTCCTCTAAAACCTTTCTGTCTGGTTAGCACATAGTGCTTTCAGCCATTAAAGCACATAGTTTTTGTTTGATTTTAGGTGATGGGGTTTTTTTAATTGACATCAGAGGCAATTGGACAGCAGGTCTTAAAAGGTTTATGAAATATCTAGGCCTGAACAAAATGAAAGTAATTTTATTTCCAAGGAATACTTTCTATCCTTAATATTTTTTTAGTATAAAACAATGAGGAGAAAAGGAAAGGCAGTATAGATGCATTTTTATTTTCTTACTCCATCACTCCATCCTTTGGATAAGGAGTAACTGAGAGTAGACCTTCCCCCAAATCCAGAACTACAAAATCTGAGTGTTTGACTGAAAATGTGATATTTCTGTTTTCAGGGAATAGAACAGTTGAAAAAGGAAGAGAGAAGATGGGCTAAAAAAACAAAATGGATGAACATGAAAGCAGTATTTGGCCATCCGTTCTCTATAGCATGGCTTAGCCCATTCGCGACACCAGACCAAGGAAAAGCAGACCCGTACCAGTATGTGGTCTGAGGAATTCTTGACCAGCATTTCCGCTAAAATAGAAACATATTACAGCACTACTGTTACAAATTTTCCATGAATGTTTAAAACAAAAAGCAAAGCAAACTTTTTTTATGTCTATTGAATGGCTGATAATTGCAGAGAAAAAAAAGCCCTGTATTCCACAATTTTAGATGATTCTGTATCTCTGGCTGAAACTGCTGCTGCTTTTCTTTTTTTTTTTTTTTTTTTTTTTTCTTTTTCTGTCTTTTTTTTTTTAATCTTGTTAACTTTACTGGCCTTTGTTTCTCTCTGCTTTCTGTATGGCGTAACTAATGTGAAGGGGATCCTCTTTCTCTGTTGTGACCCCCCTCTTCTGAGTAGATTCTCATGCTGTCTCCTGAGTGTGGTGAGCTCTGTGGAAGACATGTGAGTGCCAACAGCCCTACACAGACACCTCTGGACTTCCTGAAGGAGCACATTGCTCTTTTGTAAGTGAACTTGAACGAGGAAGCAGACACTTCACTTACCAAAAGGTGCAAGACAAGAACGTGACACAGCAAGAGAGCCAGTTGACCTGGTGATCGCATACAGTTAAAGTACTTAAAACAAACGTTGCCAACGCCAGTTCTTACCCCAGCCTCCTTTTTCCTTCCAGCCACAGAACTGTTTCCATCTTTCTGGCATTATTTTGTCTGTTCCCTCCCTTGTGTGCAGAAAATGGTTGCCCTCTTAAGATAATTGTGGCAGATTTAGAGGACTTTATGGATAATTAAATGCCTTACACTTGCAGGAAAGAAAAAGATCTAATTTTCAGCTGTTTAGAATAGCAGAATCATTCTGTTTGTGTGTGTTTGTCTTGGTAAATGACTTGGGTAGAGCAATGCCTGCTAAAGAGTGGTAACGTGAAAAACTGACATGAATGCCCAGATTACTATAAAGACTAATATTGGCGGGATGTATAGGTGTCCCAGGGTGATTGATTCTGTGTTCTTAGCATTGCCCTGCTTTACAGCTTTGTAAATCTTTTCTCCTATTTAGGCGTACGTGTGTATGTGTGTAAACACACGCACACATATGTGTAAGTGTTTCAAATTGGGAAATATTTATGGTAAGGAGCATGCATGCTGTTATGAACTGTGTGGTGATGAAAGTAGGAGGGACAGAAGGCATTCCAAAAACAAGTAGAGCTAAACCATTCATAACTACAACTGACATCTTCTGTTCAGGCAGGAATTTTATTATATTTTTGGATCATGACTCCCGTGGGCTCATCAAAAGAATTGCAAACAAAGGAAAAATAGAAATCAGCTGTGTCCATGACCTCCAAGGAATCTTTTCTTTCCTTGGTTTAAAATAAAATGGTATTTTTTTGGAAAAATGACCTGTTTAGACTGCTTCAAAGCCATGAAGGAAGGGAGAGAAATCAGGGAAGGAGAAATTTAATGGTTGTCTCATTTTGGAAGTAATGTGAATGCTGCATCTTTTCAATCTGTCAATGCTTCCATATGGAAAACAAATGCAATAAAACTTTTCCAAAAACTTGTTTGCTGTCCTTTCTTTCTTCACTTCAAACATTGGGAAAAATCTGTAATGGTTTTCTGAACTTTCACTTCTGTATGCACGCAGGCAGAAGCATATAAAGGTTAATTAACTGAGTGTTCAACATTTAAGTTTAAAAATGAGTTAATCGGTAATATACTGATCTGTTACTCAGTGGTTTTATTTGACCACTTGGATGAGGCTGTTAGTAACTGCTCCGCTGCGTACGCGGGCTGTTTCTGCAGCCCTGGTTGCTCAGGGTCGGGTCAGTGGGTGTCCGGTGGGATCTGCTGCAGGCTGCACCCCTGCCTCGCGGGGAGGTTCTGCGAGGGAAACGGAGCCTTTGCAAACACATTGCCTTAAGGAAGAAAAGTTCAGGTTTTGTTTTTATAGTGCTGATCCTGCTGATGGTGGAGAGCTGTTGTAAATGCGTGCGTAACTCCGATTTTGCGATGGTGTTTTTCGGAGAATGCTCCCAGCTGAATAGTTAAGGGCTGGATCTTTGGCCAGAGGTGTTCAGCCGGTGAGAGATGTGCAGGTGGAACCGGTGGAGAGTCCGGCCCTAAAGCTGTCTCGACACAAAGTCAGATGTACTGGGGGGAGAGGCATTAGTCACCTGGGCAATTAACGCGTGCATGCCTCTCTCTGTACAGTTCATTGCTTTAAAAGTTGTTTTGATTGTAAATTCCACTGGTCCACGTTCCAGGTTTGGTTTATTTTCATTACCGTTATTCACTGCATTTTGGAGGAAGTCTGGTTACGTTATTCTGGCATTTTGACCATTGTGAAAAAAATGTGTAACTACTAATTTTTTCTTGTTTCAAACAAATGCAAATTGTTAAACTGCATTGTATGGCATTGATATTTTCAGTTGAACTGTTCTTGTTTTAAATGAGGCATCATCACAGCTTGCAGAAATGTCCATCGACGCCTGTCCCGTGTGTGTCTCAGTAACCAGGGGTCCTCAGTTTTGCTTGCACTCGGTGCAATTTGATGCAATTCAAATGGTGCTAAACGTGGGTCGGTATTAATACTTATTTGCTCATGGAGAGTGTTTTTTCAGGCAGGACTACCCGATTTCAGGTGCTGGTTCTGCTTTAGCTTGGCCAAGAGAAATGGAAGGATGAAGTCCATCAGAGGCGGGCTCCTTCTCTTTTGAAAAGCTGCGTGGTGCTCCAAGCTGAATTGAGTGCGAGGAGCTGCCGTCGGGAAAGGCTGCCGTAATCCTGATTTCTGATAGCAACGCTTCCTCTGTCTGCCCTTCTCTCTAGATACTCACGCAATAAATGCAGCAGCCACGGCGTCGGTTTGTTACTAACACGGTAGAAACCTCTGCAGTTTGCTAAGGAACAGCCAACAACCAAAGGTCGTCCTCCGCTTTGAAAAGCGTCTCCCTCCTGGTCGCACAGCCGCAGTATCGGAACCGGAGTGGAACCGGAGTATCCTGGAGGAGAAGCACATGGTAGTGCTGAAGGGCTTTGCCGAGGCTCTGCCGTGCCCGAACGCTGCTCCTCTCCCGGCTCGCCCCGCGGGGAGGTGAGGACCGGCACTGCCCGCGGCAGCACCGGCAGTCACATCCCGAGGGGCCAGAGGCCGCAAGGGATTTTCCCTGGAACAGCAGAAACCGCGCGTTTGCAAGCTTGGGAGCAGAGCGAAGGGACGCGTGCCTGTGCTTAGCGTTGCGAGATGCACGTTTGTCCTTCAGGGCTTGGATTCTTCCCGAAATTGGAACCCTGGAGACTTCAGTTTTGGTATTGCGTCGTTTCTTTCTGCAAATGCACCGCTGGATTTCTCCCCAGTCAGCCCGAGAAGCGGGGCATGAATGAAGCTCAGAAAAGCTTTGCACGTAATTCCTTGGTTTATGGTGTGTTTCCTCCCGGGCCCGCTCGTGCTGACTCAGCGTTATCGCAAAGCCGAGCTGCTGCTGTATCAAACTGCCGTGCTATTTATAAGGCGTGCCGTGAGTGCAGCTGTGGTGCCGCTAAGCTGTTGCGTGTATTCGCTTCCCTCCCTGCAAAGCTTTGAAATGTTTTGTGGGTCGTTCGGGAAAATCTGCAGGATTAGACCGTGCAAGTGTCTTTTTTGTCTGGCTCTTCTAAAATTGCGCTTTTAAATGTTTTTAACTGAATTTCTTCGTTTTTCCTTTCCTTGAGTGTCTCAGAACTTGGATCCAATATTCTTGCTTCTCTAAGAACAGAGTTTCTATGTGGTCACTTGTATTTCATCACGAACGTGTCGTACGCAGCTGTAGATCTGACTCCTCTCTTACGGACATAAAAAACCTGTGCCCTATTTCATATAGCGGTAGCCTTAAAAAAAAAAAATAAAAATTCTTAGTTCCTTATTTCTACATGGAGAAGACTACCAGAAAAAAAATGTTGCTGCCCAAATTTGATGGATCTGTTATTTAAATACAATCAAAATGTTTGCGTTACTAAAAGTGATGTTCTTGGAGGGAGAATGACTCCGAGTATTGACTGACCAAGGCTCCGGTCCCATTTTGAAGCCTCCGCTTCCACCTGTACAGATTCCCTCGCCTCCCAGCGGGTATCGGGCTTGCATTGTGATTTGTCTTGGACAGTGTGTTACATGGAAATTGTCTTCTTAAATATGTGCTCTTAATTGGCACAGAGTAAGCTTGCTCGTATGTCAGCTTCTCGTGACGAGCCTAGATATGGCTGTGGTAAATTCCTGATCACTGGAAAAAAGTTGCAGTATTTTGCCTGCATCCGCACTATTGTGCGAATTGTATTGCCCAAATAGGGTGAAATTTTAAGTTCTAACTGCGTTTTGTTACTCCTCGGAGGGATTCAGAAAGCAACGGGAGAAGAGGTCCATGTTTCCAAAAGGGATGGCTTTTAAGAAGCCATCTCTTCACCATAAATATCAATAGCCCCTGACGCTGAAATAAGTCATCGAGATTCAGATTGTCCATGAATTTGGCCTTGGTTTATGGGTTTTGTTGTTAAATTTGGGGATGAAACTCTCAGTAACGCAGGACATCTGTCTTCATTGTTAACTAAAACTTGGGTAACATCTTGGCCATGGGTGGGCAGTTTTCCAGGCGCTACAGCGGTTGGTGCCCAAGGACCTGCTATAGATGGGAGATGACCCAAACCTCTTCTCTTCTTGCAGGGTATCGAGCGTCTTAAAAATCAGAAGCCGACCTGGGAGCAGATCAGCGGCTGGGAAGGAATGAAGCTGGCGTTCGGCGGTGCCTTCTCCGTGGGCTGGTTCAGCCCTTTCTCAAACCTGAGCTGCCGGAGCCCAGCGCCGGCCGAAGCGGTGGCAGCAGCTCCTGCCTCTGCAATAATGTCGCAAGAAGAAATCGAGCAGTTTCTCGCTCGAGACGTTGCCGTCCAAGTGTTGCATGAATAAGCAAAGCATCCTCCACGATGTCAGGAGCGGCCTTCAGGTGTTTTTTTCTTTTTTTTAAATAACTACTTGTGCTGCAGATTTAAGGGGTTGGTTTTTAACATACTTTCGGTGCATTAAAAAATTCAGGAGTATTTATCTGCAAGCCAGGTACAGCACTAGCAGAAGCAATGCAAATCTCTAGAGAAGGCTTTGTAAGTGATGAAATTCATCACTGCATCAACTGCTTTAATGAGCTTTTCTTACTTAGCCTTTAAGGAAAGTTTATAGTTGTCGGATAGATTGGTCCCCGCTCCCAGAAATGTGCGGTCCGAAGGTTAATCTTTTGTTCTTGCAGCCTTTTGGAGGGCTAAATGATAAGCCCTGCGCAATGGCCAGATCAGCCCAGCTCTAAAGGTTTTCTTGAAGAACGCATCCTTTTTAGCTCGTCCCATGGGTGCTGCCCCTGGATGATGGAAGCTGCTGGTGCTCAGGTCTTAGCGGAGGTGGGATACGGGGCTACGGATGCAGCAGATGGGTGAGCTCGCCCTGGGTGTAGTTCCTTGGGGCCCCAAAATATCTCCAGGGGTAAATTTTAACCCTTTGTGCTCGCAGGGCTGCCCAAGATGGGTGGTGCTGGTC